CCCCTTAACACACAAGAAGGTCGAACATTATTACAACAACACAATAACATAGGGCATTGCATTTGTGGGCCAAATATTATTGTGATGTTACTGGTTAATTTCCTTTTGTAATGTGGTGTGCTTAATCTATTTGTCAGTATATGAGTTTCAGTTATTGTATGAAGCACTATTTAAAATATTTCCACGATTATTGACAAGATGATCAAACAACAGTGAAATCCTAACGTACATGCCCTATTACCTTTCCTATATGTGACGAGCATTATAAATTCAAATTTTTCTTTCTGAATGATAAGGTAAGGTAAATGTCACTTATAGGCATCCTTCTCAATAGGTTTCTGAATATACTGAATATACTGAAAGGAAATTGCTAATCTTTGCATCTAAAATTCTCACAATTCTCTTTTTTCCTGTTTATATTGTTATCTATAATCACAAATATCGAATACCCGATTCATCTGGACATCTGTAAAAGTGACTGACAACCTGCTGCGAATCGAGCCCACACTGAGGATCACTGAGAAGGCTTGTATATTGTTTAAGGGAGCGAAAGGATGCTTTAAAGGACATTTATTGATACGGCCGAGTCCTTGAGCGTCGGAGAAGATGTCCTTCGGTGACAGAGCCTTATTGCCGGGACATTAATCACCATTGTTGGGCAAATAAGTGCACTAGCTTCCCCTAGCAGCAATCCGCTTCCCTTGCTCTACTTGCTGTTGTGTGTGTGTGTGTGTGTGTGTGAGAGCGTGCATGGCTGGACAGTTGAAATGATTTGGACTGAAGTGGCATGAGTCATTGTGAATTAAAATGATTAAATTGCCAGAGTGACCAGCGCAGGATGGAGTGTATCTTTCTTGGCTGATCGAACTCTGAGGCAGCCGCGTCAACCAATAAAGACAAGACGGATTGCGCCGATTAGCATAAGTTAAACGAATAAACTGCTTCATCTGAGTTAACGTCAGATTACGCCAATTATAGTAAACAGTACACCATTGTCCTGTGGAGAGCAAATAAAACATCATATTTTTCCAATATTCGGTGCCGCAAAGACGCTATGCTGAGATACTATATAAACTTGCCATAATGGAAAACAGATCCTAACAAGCTAATTATGCAAATATATAGGGGCTTATGCATTACAGAGTATCCAGTAATGATTATTCTTGCATTAATAAAATAAGAGCTGAACTGCTTAAAATGAACAAAAAATAAAAAATAGGCAACTAATAATCCTTGGAAAATGAGCCACTGTACGTATCTGTATCCGCACGCATTTCAGTCTTCATTCTATGATTCTTTTGTACCTGACACCTCTAAAACAGGATGATATCAACCCTAATAAAAATAAATTCAATCCAAAATCATGCTGTGTGTGTCCATTGTCTAATATATACATTGCTTTGTCTTTGATACCAGGAATAGAAGCCTTCACAACTACTTTTCACAACCACGATGGCATCAGCATGAGACAAATTATCCATTATACATATATATATATATAGACACAATAATAAGAATGAAACATGTGAGAAGAAAATAGGTAAGGGAGAAAAAAGCTGTCACAGGGGAACAATATCAACTTATTTTAAACATTTTGTGAAGCTACAGTCAAAAACAAGTTATTTTCAGAGTGAGTCGTAGGAATGTGCAGTGATTAGCCTGTGCCATAATGATAATGATGGTGTCCAGACAGCTGGCTCCCTGCTGCCACATCTGCACATCAGGGCCTCAATTATACAGCCTGCATTAATAACCTCATAACATTGTATTTGCAGAGAAAGTAATAAAGTTATTTGCAATAGACAGGATCTCAAATTATATCAAATCACCAAATCATACTTATTATCTCAAACTATTATCTTTTTGCAGACAATAGAGGGTCACAACCGAGGAATGGCATCTGGGAGAAAACAATGCTAAATGAATACAGAAATGATTACAGACTACAAGACTTGCAGTGGAAAGTACATAAAAAATGAAAATTCCTCATGAAAAAGTAAAGCCTTGAAAAAGTTGAATTTGTAGCTTTTCAGAAAGTTTACAGGACATTTCAGCATTGGCAAGGTCTGCGCATCCACAGACTGCAGCATGTTTTATGGCAGAAAAGGTGGTTTATAACCATGACATCAAATACAGTCAAAATAGATTTTATATCCTGCGTTGCTCTGAGCTGCTCCTATACATTACACATAGTGACTCCATGTAAACTGCAGATTTCTGTAATGAGTGCACGCATAAAACAAGGCACGATGCCATTTTTCTGGATCACAAAATAATCTTGTCATCATCTGCCAGGACTTCAACCTCGCATGAAATAAAAATAATCAGTGCGTCTGTGTAATCTCATATTTCTATGTTGATAAAGCTTAAGGCCACTCTATAATGGACGTTTACATAAAAAGGATATAGGTCAAATCAACAAAACATGAACGCTTCAATTGGATTAGTCCAGCAACACCATATCATTTGTACCAGCCTGTTCTAATAAGACGCTGTGCGCGATATGCCTTGTAAAAATCGGAGTAAGTGTCTATTGAGAGGGGGAATGCTACAGTAAATAAAAGCACAAACAGTGGAGCCTGGAGTGCTGGATTTTGGGGCCATGGGGGTTGGACTGTTCTGGTGCGTTACATCACTGTGCCTCTCGATGGGGGATGATTACAGCCACTGGGAACAGGCCTCTCCCCACAACTCCAAATGTTACTGTTCACTTGACCAACTTGGTAAAAGGCAAAGTGAAGTGTGGTTTTTAAAATAAACCAAAGACTATAATTCTATAGAGCCAAAATAATAGCAATATATTTCATTCCAACTAATGACATGTGTCCAAATAAGTGTCTTATCAGAGGTAATAGCAGAGACAAAGAGTACTTTAGTTCTGATATCTTATCGTTTTATCTTAACTCTTTATTGAAATATATTGAGTCTTTATTGTAATATATTAACTGTTGGTTTCCATTCACATGTGATAGGGACTGACACAAATGGTACAGTGCTTAGCCATATGCCTTTTGTGTGGCGTTTGCATGTTCTCCCTGTGTCTGGGTGGGTTTCCTCCAGGAAAGCTAAGGTAGCCCTGGCCGAGCAGAGCTCAAAATCTGGACATGGGTTTTGATGGGACTGGAATGCCCACTGCTTCTGACAAGTTGCCCCAGTGGCATTGAAGGGTGGGTCAAATGCAAAGGACAAAGTTCCCTACAGGAACAATAAAGGCTAATCTGAAGCAAACATTACAGTATGGCTGGGATGAATGTCACCAGGTAATGTAAATTTACGACTGGTTAAAAAAAAAAAAAAAATCTCAAATCAAACTAGATACTCATTTTAACACATACCGATACTGGAAAAAAGTATATGAGAAAGTGGAACTTCTTTTCTTTTACAATGGTCTTAATCAATAACAGAAATACTACCCACCTGATAATATTAAAGAAACTATTTTTCATAAGATTGCATTATATTACATAGAAGACAATTTCATTATGTTCCTTTATTTACTTAGGGAGGGCCCATGAGAGAAAGCTCCATCTGAACATAAGTTAGATTTTTTTGTAGAAAGCTATTCCTTAGTCAGCTACATAACCTCCCTGAGATTATGACTCCTTCGACCAAACAGGTGGGCGAAGTGTCTAGAGGACAGTAGCAGGGCTCAAACCACAAACCTTTATGTTATGTTATGCTATATTATATAGCTGACTCCACCAACTTAAATACTGCTCGGCTCCGTCTGAAGTAGACCCTAAACACCTAACCAGAGTCACCGATGCAATAAAACATGAGCTCACTGTTTATCTAACCTATATTATTTATTAAGGAACGTTTGCCTTGGGGAGGGGGTTGGCCAAGGTTGACCCCGCAGCACATTCACCTTCAATTCACTGAGGCTCACCTTGTACAGATTAGAGTGTATAGACTGTGTGCTATAGACAAAAGGTGAGAGCATCCAGAGACAGGAGTGCTACAAGCCATGCGCCACTCAAAGATTATGGAAGAATGAAAACTGTAACTGAACTGCTCATATGAAACCAGGATGATTTCAAATTAAGTAAATACAAAATTATAAATCATTCAAATTCTGCTTACCTAGACAGACCCAAACTTCTCTACAATCCTCTTTGTTCACCTGTCTCCTGTCAACCAAGTGAAAAATGTGCACTAAAGCCAAATGCACAATTACAAATAGGCCTACTGTCTTTAGAAGTTCTATCCGATTGCAATGAGACATTATATATTGTCTTATTTGATTTTTGGAGTGGAATAGGGTCAACAGGAGTGCACTCTTGGGTATTGTAAGTATTCCGTTTGGTAACATCTGATCTATATGGTTAGTAGTCCCTTTGTAGAGCTTGCTTCGTGTTTCCTTCACTCAACTTGCAAACAGAAAGCTAGAGGTGTCATTTTGTAATGGACTACTGGACCCTTATAAGCCAACACAAAGTATCGCCTTCATCCTCGTTTGCCTTGCGCTTGACGTAGCCTACATCCCTGTACAAGTCACCGTTAGTGTCCAAAACTAAAAGATTTCTGCACGCGTAATACGGGCTAATTCAACAATCTACACGAAGCCACTTTGGCGTTAAGAGATGGCGCGTGTACCAATTCCCCCAGGCACCAAAAACCATCTAATACCCTGCAGGAATGTGTTCAGACAATTAACTCGTGTATGTTTTAATAATCAATGGTGGTGGTCCTAGAGCTGTCTGGGCACGGACTGGACAACCAGAACCGACAGCGGCAGGAAGAAACGGGACATTGCTCCAAATCTAAAATCAATCTCCTCTCCCCCGGTTAGAGTGCGTGTGGAGCGGGCAAAACTGGGGCCAGTACCGCTACAGCAAAGCTTAAAAAAGGGCTCCTTTAAGTGTAAAATGTCCACCATCCCAATTCGCTTTTGCCCTTGGTTAGAGAAGACGGAGCCAAGAAGACAGCGGAGTGCATGCGTACTGCTGAGCGAAATCAATAAAAGCTACTAACCCCGCGTCGGGACTGGAAGTACTTACCAGGATGACAGTCTTTGTGTTTAGGCAAGGTTAAAATCACTAGGGATAAAATCCACCAGTAACTCGGATCCCGTATTCTCCGCATGTTAGACTACTCATGGAGAGCAACAAGAAAGAAGGCAGCGGGTGACAAAGTTTCCGAGTCTGTTCTCCTCTTTTCAGAAATCACATACACACGAGTGGGTCTTCAAATTGAAGTTGACACAGCAAGCCACGAAGGCAGAGCATCAAAGTCCGGGTTGCAAGCCAGCTACGTACGCTCTCTGCTTTATAATCGTCCTAATATATTCGCCTCCAGTCCAAACACAGGCTGCTTTTGGCTTCGAGCAATAAAACGCTACGCACACTACCACGACTGTGCAAAAACTGTTGAAAATCTGCTGGACTCCGCCGTGCCTGTAGAGGGCTTCCAGATAGCGACATTCCCGGAGTGAAAGCGAGAGGGTCAATCGGCGATCAATCCTCTGTCGTTAACTACGCACAAAGTGGTCGAACAGTATTGATTGCACGTGCTCATTATGAAGTGATTATCCGAGGAGGCGTCAGCGTGGCGAAGGGCAAAAAGCGCACGGGAAAACTGGAGGGCTGGCTTGGAGAGGAGACGTCCCGTTCCGTTCCTCCATCCAGGAAGTAGACTCTAGCGGTCAGGCATGCATGAGTGTGTGGCGACTGGACAAGCTGGCTGCGTGTGTGCAAGAGAGAGAGAGGGAGAGAAGGCGGGAGCAGCGGAGGAGAGGGAAAGGGAGGAGAGGGAGGGCTCTTCTTTTGGATCTGTTGAATGCAGAATGACTGGGAACGGACCCAGAGGCTGAAGCGGGCTGCTGCTGTCTCCGTGTACGTCGCTGGGGTGAGGATGACAAGAAAAATCAATGGCGTATGTCAGGCTGTCATGTGTCCTCTTTGGATCCTGACAACTGCGTAAAATGTTGCATAAAGATTGGCTAATAAAGGGAGAGTGGGTCTTGGATGAATTATGGCCATCCAGGATACATTTGGCGCCATAATTTCTGTAATTGTAAGTTTGTAAAGATCACTTCTTCTGTCAGTAGTTGTTTCAATACTGATTTTATGTTACTTTTTTTTAAACTAACTAGTACATAAAGGCGGCCCAGACTCTTTCTGTGAGGGTCACATTGGTTGGGCCAGGTAGAAACTGATGGGCCTATATGTTCCCGTGGGGCACTCATTAAGGTGACAGATTTTGTCCATCCCTTGATGTTCTTTTGTCCTTAACTCTTGAGTGGGCAAGGTGAATAGGATGTCTATGCCAATATGTACTGCTGTTTCAAAGAGCTACTCTGCTGTAGCCAAATACAACTAGACAACTGAGAAATATCAAAATAATATACTTTAAAACTCCTCATTCTAGCCCAATCACAGTTGCTTTCTTGTTCAGCATTATCTTAAGCCAAATGCATTAGAACTAACCATGCTTGCCTTGTTTGCTCTGAGTGAACTGTTGCAATCACTCAGTCACCAAATTTTGCAGGGTGCACGATGAACATTCACCATTAAAATAGTTTGAAATATAACTGAATTGGCCCTGGTTTTTACAACTCACTTTTAATCTAATATTCTGCTGAGCTGTTCAACAATCCCCTTTAAAACTAGTTCTACAAATATATTTATTTGATTGTCCATTTTAACAGCTGCACACGTTATAATACTGTGTGAATTTGAGCTTTTTTTTTGTACATATGTAGATCCAATACAAAAGGTCATAGAGCATTCACTTTAATGACAATTGATGATGCTTTATTTTTTTTTATATTGTAAAACTAATCTAATTTATTGAGAAGTACCTCTTGTATTTCTATATGGTGGCACATTCTTGTGAATAATGCACACACCTATTACAATAAAAATGGCAAATCCAATTCTGAAGGTGGGAGCACAGGGCCTGATTGTATCTATATTTACAGCCCCTGTCGACTTCCATATTGACAGCTAGCTTATATATGCGCCTACAACCTTTTATAAGGTTAGGCTTTGTGCCGAAATGATTTTGATGTTGCTCTGCCCTCTATCTCTCTGATGTTGTTTTAAGGCATTGGCTGCATCATGCTTTCCTACAATTCGCTGTAACAGTCTCTTGCTGCAGCCAAGCCAAGCCCCCATCCTCTTATCTCCCTCTCCCCTGTGCGTTGCTTCCTCCCAGGCCCCATTATTAAAATGACCCAGAGTGGCCACACAGTGCAGTCCCTTTGCCTCCTGCTGGCAGAACTGTGAATGGAATACTTTAGCAGTAATCATCACCTGCAATATTATCTGTGCGAGTGTGTGGTGATTGGAGAATTATGCATCCACTGTCCCTTAGGTAAACGCACATCGGTGGTGTTTCGGCAGGAACTATCCAGCTGGACATTTAATTTGAGGAATCTGATTAAATTTCGCATTTAATTATCCAGTTCTCTGCAGGGCCATCGAGGACGGTCACAAGGGTCCTCTGCCTTTAATGTAGCCCATCTGCTTCCTCTCCACAATCCCCACCTTTTCAAAGTGCCCACTGCCTCCTGGGTAAACTCATATACCGGTCCTCCAGGCGACTTTAGTGCCATGTAAACTCCACACAAACCACCGGCGATGACAATGCTCCAAACCACGGCAAACTATCAAGCACAATTAACCCAAGCCAATGTAGCAGTATTTTTCTGATTTATGTTCTGCCAGTCTCAAAAAGCAAAGCGTTTTTTCTTCTTAATAAACCCGGCTTTAGTCCACTGCTCCAGATCCAGCACATTGACTTTAATGTCAAAGGTTACAGTGAAATGTTACTGCAGAATAAGACACTTGGATCTTTTCTTAGACTTCACTCAGTTTGAATTGGGAACAGATGAGTCTTACAAAAATAGGCCCAAGGCATGATGGGTAATCACTTCATCACCTCTCCACTCTTCCCAACACTCTGTAACAGGTTAAATCTGGACTCCGCATAATCAGTCTTAGTCACCATCTCTACAAAGCCTCGATATCCCAGAATTTCACTTTCAAATTCTGGTCTAAAACAGTTACATAAATAGCCACTTGCTTACCTCTATTAGGGGCCAATGTGCTTCAACTAGTGTTGTCACAATATTAAAATACTAAAATTTCAATTTCAGTACTAAGGATTAGACTTGATATTCAATACCAATTCCAATACCACTATGATAATACAAAACACTCATCATTCCCATGTGGCCTTTTATCTGTGTAATCCTCAGTTGTCCCAGTTGGTTCTGTACTGGTCCTGATGCAGCTCAAGATCATTCTAAAGCTATTCAGGAAAGGTTCATTTCTGTCCTGTGAAAGTGACTTTTTTTAGAATTGATACCTGCTCAAATGAGTATCTAGTTTTGATTCTTGTTTTGGCATTAATTAGAATCAGATTTTTGATACTTTTGACAACCCGGACTGAACAGCTTGTATTTGCTTTTTCCAATAGTTCCAAAAAGCATAGTATCTTCATTTTCAGCCTTTCCACTTGAATGTGCCCCTTTTAAGAACAGTGGTTGATAAAATGAGAGCCTTACTGACCCCTAATCCCAATAAAATTAATGTTTAACTTCCTTCCGCCTTGGTTTATTGGTTGTTGGTTTTGAAGACTTTTAGATGGGACCAGTAATGAGGCCAGAAGATGAGATTTGTCAATTTTGGGATGGCTCCAAAACACAATTCGGATCCAGGAAGCTTTTAAAATGGCCAGTAAAATGGAGGATGTAACAAGGATTCCAGCAACAGGGGGGCGGTCAGTGAAGTAAAACGAGCTTAATATTCACCAATATAAAAAGAAGACAAAATTAACTTTTTTGGAGCAGGTTAAGGATGCACTGAGTAACTTTTCTAATAAAATCTGCATGGAAACAAGCAGGTGACTCCAAGTTACAAGTCAGATCAGTGGAATGGCAACCTCGCTTAGAGTAAGGATTTATGTTTTTCCATGTATTTGAGCAACAAAACACTTTTGAAATAAATGTTAGAATTATTTAATGCAATAACATGGAACATTCCTGGCAAAGCAATAACATATCCATGGAGACAAGGTGGTAGCCTAGACCAGTAAACTTACATAGTGCACTTTTAATAAGCTTTGTCCGCTATAAGATTTTAGTTTTAGTATAATTAAGGTAGCACCTATAGTTTGCCACTGTAAGACAAAATGGTTTATCACAATCCAATTGGTTTTAAAAGATAATATATTTGCTCCTAAGCTCTTACAATCTCAACTGGAGCACGTAAATAGCTGCAGTAGTAATTATCCTGGATTTTTCCACAGTTATTTTTGGCCAGGCAGCCGGTAAGTGACACCTAAGCAATGTGGAGATGTCACCTTGGAAAAGTGCAGTGACATTATTGATCAAACAATTCATCAATTAACTCAAAATCATCCGATGCTGATCAATAGAGAGGCCTTTCACACTCCTGCCTCAGCAAATCACATCTCAGAAAAAGGATGCCAAGCCCGACTCCTTACAAGTACTTTGAATTTACTGCAGTTCATAGTCTTTCTTTTTAGCTTTTCAACAAATCATCTGCCTTGAAGCATGCAGTGATTTGTTTTTATGTTTTTCAGTTTTCTCCTTCTGCTCACAACCTTTGGTGCACAATGCACTGCAAAGTTATTGTCATCTCAATATCAAGCCACAAGACATATGGAGTAGTTTCCTTACAGCTTAAACTTTAAAGCTCTACTAGTGACTATGTAATTTTTGTCTGTCATCTGCTTGTCTCCGTGGAGATGTTATTGCTTTGCCTGAAATGTTCCACAGTATGTTATCGATCTTGCATTTATTTGATTTAGGGATTTGACAATAAACAATAACATAATTTATCGCGATAAAAAAGGGTAGGCAATAATCGTTTCTGGGATATTTTATGTAATCGTGATAATCGCCAACAAAGTTAATCGACATTGAAAAAAACAACATATCTGCTATGTTGTAGTTGTTTTGACTAATTACAAATTACAATTGTGTAACAGTTGTTTAAACCTAATTCATAACATTTAAATCATAATTATTAATGCACATAACATTTTAAATTGCAATTATTTTAGCTATGATAACCGTGATATATCGTCCCATGCCTAATTTCATCACAGGAGTTTTACTGATTACTTGTCTTTATGGAAATGTATACATTTAATGCCATATTGTGCGGAACAGTCTGGGCAAAACATTAGCCCTGGATAATAAAAATAATAAATGGATTTACATACAGGTTTGAACTGAATTGAACATACTAAAATAGTGAAGCTTTGCAATAAAACAGAACTTCTCATCACCGAACCCAGAACATCTCCCTCATCATCAGTGGCCACACCATTACCCCTCCCCCTTGGCATCATCATGGACCCAACCTTCTCATTCAAATCACACATCAGACACATCAGCAAAACATTATTTTCCCACCTCCGCACCGTCGCCCACCTCAGCCCCTCGCTCTCTCTGCACCCACTGCAGAAATCCTCATTCACGCTATCATCACCTCCAGACTCGACTACAGCAATCACCTTCTGTATGGTCTGCCTATAGACCGTATAGATTAGAATACAATATAATAAGTGTCACCTGAAACATTCAGTTGCAACCAAATGAGGCTCAGTGAGGCCAGCAGTTATAGAGGCCAATCTGTAACCAGGCACCATATTTGGAAGGTACAAGCTTGTGCTCACCACTGACTTAGCAAGGAGCTG